ATGAGATCGTCATTCTTCATGTTCTCAGTTCCACGACTCGTGAGAATCGCGAGAAAACGAAGATCCGAGATCGCGAGCAGTCCCACTCACATTCATCGGAGTGATAGATCGCAGTCAACAACGCCCTGCATTACAGAGCTAGCATACAGCCTGCTCCGCATGGGGTGTATGTCTTGTAGAGGACATACATATTCCCACTCATCCTGATTCTGTGCGATGGTTTTTCCTGCTGAAGTAGTCCTTGTTGAGTTAGTCCAATTCACACTATCGGAAGTTCTGTGCTTACCGTATTCTTTGCTCGTTCATCATCCTTCATTTTCCTAGTTTCAAGCTTCATGAGATTCGCTAGGAAGCGAGGACCCGAGATCGTGGGCACTCGCCCTGACCTCCAGCTTCGAGAAGTTTCTTTCGTCATACTAGAAGAGGGTCGGAGCCAGGTGGGCCGAGAAGCCAGCGGTGGGCTCACCAAAAATTGTCGACGGAGACAGAGAGAAGAAGACCGAGTGGACGGTACGCACTGTTTACTAAGATGTCTCATCTAATGAATAATTGAATTTGAACCGTGACTTCGTTCACTCACTTGTGCTCGCTACTTCAGCATGGTTGGTATAGCGTGCCATTGGAACGGTGCTAAACGAGAAAATTGTCGTTTCTTCGCGCGACTTGTTACAACCCCTTACCGCAGAATCTTAGCGTGTGATGTATTCCTCAAATAGGGACTATTCCTGGAATGGTCTTCAGCAGAAACAGGAGTAAAATTTATATTATTCACATGGTAATATAAATTGCGCAGAATGCAACTCGGGGTCTCAGAGTATACTTCCTCCAATCAGAAATTACTCAAAAATAGTGATAGTAGCCCTATCACTATTTTTGAGTAGTTTTTTGGGTGGACTATCATAGCGCCATCTCATACTGGTCGGTAAATCTGCGGCGCTCTCATTGTTGTATAGGTCTTTGGGTTGAGTTTTCCTTCGGATCTGCGCCTGAAACTTTCTCAGTTTCCACGTGGAGTTGGGTAATTCTAGACTGAGGTGACACCTAGTTTCGTTTCATTGCTACATTCATTCCGATTCACTCACTTGCATTCAGGAACTGGCGGTAGAAGATCTCGTGAAAGCAGCCGGGGTTAATGGAGAGAATTTTAATCTCATTGCGGGAGCCGTCAAGGATGGAGAATATCCGTAGGTTTGTTAGTTTGTTTCTGATCATGGCTTCGAAGTCCCCCTGCATTATATCCTAAATCAGAGTTTGTAGCATCAACTGGAATCATAGTGTGAGGCAAACGTTGATCGGTTTGATCCACCAGCTTCTCTAAAAGAAGCTAATAGAATTCATCAGGACCCTGTTTGGAAAGACTGTGGACGAGCTGCGAGAGTGCTGGGAACAGTGTCGTTTCGACTTTTCATCCTCTTCAAACTCTTGAGCTGAATAGTTTCGGGCCAACGATAGGCGTTGCTTTGATCAATTCAGTTCGTCAGTTGGGAGAGATGTCAAATTTGAAGTTTTCCCTCCTATTTGAGTTGCAAGATTAGATCTCGGGGCATCAGGCTACTCGTTCAAAGAATCGTCTCGTCTCGAAGCAGACGAGCTCAACGAATAAGTTTAATTACCCGAGCGGGCATGCAAGTCTCTGAAGGCTCCCGGAGGTTATACACTCAGAACATCTTTGAAGTGGAATTTATCCTCAAAAATATTCAAAGGAAAGCTCTGCGTGGCATGGCTTGCCGGAGGCTCGCTCATGTCCGCGAGGTTACTGACTTCCTAGAAACTGATCACGTGTGCTTAGTTCCTATTTTGGCCTGTGTTGTAGACAGTCTACAGTAGACTGATAAAGCTAGGCGACATTGAAGGGTAATTGTCGCATGGTGCTGGATTACTGTGGATGACCGATGCGTGAGAATCTGATATGTAAATTCACGAAATGTACGTTCTTTTCCGGGATTAATGAGAATTGTTTTGTAAACAATGTAAAAATTGCTGTAAGCATATGATGCGATAGAAGTAGGCTTTCAGGATTGTGACAGCGATTAATTGCTCACTATGACTAATCCCGGGATAGACGATGCACTTTTTTCACATTTGCATATCGAACTGGCAGGCACTGTAGGGTTGGCAGTGGATAGGTTCAGCTAGCCTGAATTAATCAGCTAGTAGCGTTGAGGAGGAGGCTAGTAAATTTCAACCATTTGGATATGTTCAGGAGAAGGCCTGTACAGTGTACGGGCCTCGCAACTTCTCCCCTTTTATCAGTGTACGGCGTAGACGGATAAAAGGGGAGAAGTATATGGGGGATGTGTAGAAGGAGGTAGAAGAGGGGAAGAAACGAACGGAGGGGAAAGTTGCCGCTAAGAATGTGGAGAATAGACGGTAATTTGGGATGTGTCAAGGACAGTGTTGGAGGAATATATGTTCGCTTTCATCAGCTGAGATCAGGAGTCTCCTCATAAATTGCTGACGTTTATATGAGAATTGTGGTAGAAGTGTACAGAAACTGATAAGGATTTCTCTAAATTTTCATATTATTACCAAGGCGTAGTTGACCATGTGCATATTCTCCCACATTGGTCGGGCGTGAGAGCCGAACCTGGGTCTTCCTGTATGTAGTGGCTACATACAGAAAGATCCACGCCATATGGCTACATTGTAGCCGTATGGATGAGTTTGTCTTGTGGGCTAAGAATGCTCGCGATGCGGAGGAGAGAAAAAAACTTCGGTATAGGCCACTCGTGAGTGGGGGAAAAGGGTATATTGGATTCTATTAGCGTGTTATTAATTCGTTGTTGGAAATTATGTTGGTATCCTCAGCTGAGCATTATTGGACTTCACAGTGTCGGCATATATCATATGGCGACTACATGCATTGATGGCAGTAGAGAATCTCTCTGAGAGAAACTCTGTTGAAATTCTGAGACTGTGGTTGCTTTTTGTACACTTATAGCCTGAAGTCGTGAAGATTCACATAGCGTAGTGAAGAAAACGAAACCAACACTGGAATTTTGTGACAGATTATTTTGGCATGAGCATATTTCGTCTCAATAGTGTTGTCGAGGTGTGGTTGCAGATACTGAATGTACTCGCGAATGAGGAGAAATTGGGGGAGGGGAAGAGGCGATAAAGAAAACTTTCAGGATGAGGCAGCAACATGAAGTCAGGAGGGATGGGAAGGGCAGATGTATTTCCGGTAGAAAAGCATAGTCAGAAAGTATCCAGCGCAAATTGACGAGTAATTAGTCTGCAGTGCGTGTCAATTTCATATTCAAATGTAGGATATGTGCATCGTTTCCTGTGATTCGTTCCGCGTCGAGCGGAGCGAGGGGAGCTTCATATTGTAATTCGGATCATTTCGGGTGTGCGTGCGTACGAATAGTTCATTCACAGCCAGAAAGAGTTTGAACCCGCCAAAAATACCAATCGGGAGCTAAATTTACGGCTACATGTAGTGAAATATGATAAGTTTAGATTTGGCGCCTCCCCGGCAACATATACACGACCATTTAGTGCTCGTTTCGCAGGTACCGTTTCTAGCGAGGAATGACGCTGCTTCCCAATAGAAGGAAGCTTATGCTTATGTGGCATATCGATAGAACTTATCAGATTTAAACCATAGAAAGAGAGTAAACTTCGAGTATCTCGAAATGTTGGGTGAATCGGTCCTCGTCATGATAACTTCCCGAATGATAACGCACTGTTCAGTTTCTCGGGGTCCCTAGCACTAATCACTGCGGCCAACTAATCACTCCGCAACCGGACATGAGCATTCAGATCTCTTGTTTCTTCATATATTGATGCTTAGGCTACCTCTGATAGGATTCTTTGCCATATGTAAATACTGCAAACTACACCCTTTGCCATCACAAGTAAGTATAAGTAGCATTTTTGACTGCATATTTGTGCTCTACCGAATACTTTCTGCTCATACTGTGTCCATGGTTCCAAAAGAACACTTCTCATCCCACGAAATTCGTGGCACGAATCATTCGAGAAGCAACACTTCGGGAAACTCTGCAATACCTCTATCACACAAATCACACTTATCTTCACCAGGTGTCGATACTGTTCAAAATACATCTACGAATAGCACACATCGGAAGCAACTTGCGGATGGGGACCAGTGGATAAGAGCCTTCGACGTCCTATTTAGGGCTGTGCTATATGGGTTGATCCTGGCAGATACCTCCTCCTATCGTCATACTGATGCTCCTGTAAGTCGCAGCCTCCAATCCATCCTTCATGTCCGGATGGTTTCATCTCGTAGTATCCTGCTGAAGAGTGTTAATGGACTACCAATCAGCAGTTCCATTGCCATTTAGTAGTCTTTGATTTTTTGCTGATACAACTTATGGAAGACGCTCCTGTAGAGACTCTTGGAGTCATAGAGTTGTCAAGCGGCCCGCTTGAAGCGGGAGTTCTGATTCCTAACAGGAGATGTTTCCTAGGCTAACCTCTTGGTAAATGGAGTGGCATATTTTGCGGGGGCACAGAGTGGGTTATGGAATCAGTAGTCAGACTATGTTGCATAGCTATAGCCACATCTTTACAATTTCACCATCATTGTTCCGTTCGGTTCTCCACCTTCACCGTGATTCGCACCCTTCCACACTCGACGTGCTATTATTAGAGTGACATGAATATTATCACCTTTATGAGGTGGGTCCCACGCCCAGTATCATTATAGCTATGTCATTAGCACTCTCAAATTGAGAGTCTCAATTTTAATCGGACTATCTGGTTGGTCTGATCAGCTCAATCAGCGGAACATCAGGATTCAATAACGTCCATGATGGATGATGATCGTCACCTCCATAAACTACGAACCAAAGGCACAT